TTGGAGGTACTTCCGTGGTGTTATCTTTGAGCGCTGGGGGTGGGAGAGCCTCAGAAACAGTCATTAGGGCCTTGTCCATCTGTCCTGAAGGAAGAACCTCAGGCTGGAGTTCCAGGGTCTGCGTGGGACCCCATTCCATTTTTGTGCCTGTACAAGCCACACTGAGTTCTTTCAATTTATCCTTTTCACTTTTTGGAGGGAAAGGAGTCAAATCTACCTCTTTATTCAAGCTCTCTGGACTGCTGAGATCTTTACTTTTTGCCTTTTGGACCTCACAAAAGCTAAGCTTGTGTGCTTTGTCCCCCACTAAATCGGGATTTTGAGCTGGAACGGGGCCTTTGTTGCTCTCCTCTTCATTCACCGGAGATGCTGGTAAATCACTTCTATCTGCAAGTGCCTCTCGTACCCTGACCTCTGGCTCCACGCTTTGGGCTGCTGGAGGTACTCCAGCAGCTGGCTCTGCCATTTGCTGTATTGAATGCTTAGCAGCACCACAGTGCACTGACTCCGATTCCCCGACCCTACGCCCTGCACCCATCCCTGGTTCAGTTTTCCTGGGATCAGCAGGCTCACCTTGACTTTTAGGACAGTGATCTCCATGACTGTTAACTCTTTCTCTCTCTGCAGGAAAAGCCAGACAGACTCCTTCTGTACCTGTAGAAGGCCTAACAGCAGGGGGAGCCTCTGGCCTTTCCGGCCCCAGGACTTGATCTTTGCAACAGGTCTCTTCTAATAATAATTGAGAAATCTGGGCGGGAGCTCCATCTTGCCCACTTTGTGTCAAAGTATCATCCATCCCCTTTAGTACATGAGCAATAGGCTTGGGCTGGTTTTCACAGGCTGTGGATTCCATAGCATCAAGAGGCACTGACTTCTTCATTGGCCCTGCTGGTATCCCCGGACAGGTAAATGTGATATTTCTATTTTCATCTACATAGCCCATTCCTTCAATTCTGTGGTCCCCTGTGGTTTCCATGGGAACGTGTATTTTTGTTGCATCTGTCTTCGCCTCCAGAATGTGCTTCTTGGGAAAACTATTTTTAACCTTTTCACGTGTCCCATCATTATTCCTTTTATTTGTTTCCTCAGCCACGGCGGCGTGTCCCTCAGCTGCGTCGATTTTGCTCTCCTTAGATATTATGGGGGGGACAAACGCTGCACCCTGGATTTGGTCTTGGCGGCTCACATCTGTCCCCTTGACCGCTGGTTCAGTAACAGTAGAATCCTTCACAATATCTATTTTCTTTCCCTGGACTGCCCCAAGGTCAACAGAATTAGCCTCAATGTTTTTACGTTTTCTGTCAACTACTTCCACCGTGGGTGGATCTGATGTATGTGAGAACAAAGGATCAGGCCTTTCTGGAAAAATCAGTCCTAATTCCTTGTTTTTCTGGGAAATACTACCCTCAACACTATCATCCTTACCTACACAGGGGAGGCTGAGGACCTGCTCCTTGCCCTCCATCCTAGCTGGTTGTATGGGATAATTACTTTTAGCCTTTTTGTTTTTGCCTTCGTGGCCCCTCTTTTTAGACTTTTCAGAAACCCAAGGAGTTGACTCATGGTCTATCCAAGGACACATTCCTTCCTTGCTTTGCTTACTGACACCCACATTTTTAATTGGGGCTCCTCTTTCTGTCCTGGCATCACAAGTCTGAGTCAAACTTGACCCATTTTCCAAAGCAATCGATTCCTGCAGGATACTTCCAAACTCACGACCCGCCATGGCCTTTGCTACCTCCATTACCCCTGTCTCAGTGAGATCAGTGACAGCCCTTGGTTGCTTTGAAGAATCCAACCTCTGCTCCTCTCTCTTCTCTTCAGCTGTCATGGTTTCAATTTTAGGGACTGGCTCACTAGGCATGACATCATCCTTCTCATTGCCTAGAAGAAATGACACCTCAGACTTTGCTCTTACCTTCCCGGAACTCACTCTCCCTTTCCCAGGACTTCCCTTGCCCTTCCTGCTTTTGCCTTCACCCATCATTATTCTCTTAAGCCGCTCATCCTCTACCCCAGAGGCCTGCGTTAACACTTGGTCCTTGGGCTCAGAGGCAAATACCTTGATTTCCTCTCTTGGCTTGGCAAAGGCTTCCTTTGTCACTTCTTTAACCTCCTCCTTGGTGCCTTCAGGAGACTCTTTCTGTTTGGCATTCTGCACTTTAGTAATTTTACTTGCATCACTCCCTTCTGCTACACTATGGTCTAATGGATTACTGGCTGTCAAAATGGGTGTCGGATTAGGTAGTTCTTTCACGGTTATGGGCTTTGAAACTCTATCCTTAACCTCTTGGTCCAAGATAGGAGAGCAATCCTCTTTGGGTCTAATCTTCAAAGGTGTTTCCATTCTGTGCACGCTCTCTTCTTCCAGGGGTACTTTCAGACTAGGAGCGTCTACTGTGTGACTTGTCTCCACAGGTGTTTGTGGGTGGGACACATGCTGTGGTTTGTATTCACTTTGCTTCAGCAACTGCTGATCCTGTTGTTCTAGGGCTGATTCGTTGTTACCTTTGCCCTCCTCCTCTACTCTTGAAATTACTTCCGGTTTTGGAGATCCTTCTGGACATGAAGCAAGTTTGAGACTCTCTGAGATAAGGTTCTGGCCCACCAGTTTGGTTGCTGTGGAGTCACGAGCGCGTTCGCTTCGCCAATTCTCTTTGGGTACGAGGCCATAGTCAGAGCCTACAGTGGGAGGTTGGCTGGAGAGGACACCCGATGGATGGGGGCCAATTGTGAAGGGATGACGTTTTGGCTCATCGGCAGGGTCCTCCGGCCAGTGACCTCCGCCCCGAGGTTGAGGATATCTCTTTTGCTTTGGTTTCTTTTTCTTTTTCTTCACCGCCATTGGCATGCCTTCTTCTACATCCCATGCCTCCCTGTCATGCTCTCTCTGGGATCCAAGGAAGTCAGCATGGATACTTTGCCTTTGGTTCCCAGGTTCACAATAGGAACCAGAGACCCAACCCAACTCAGAAAAAGGGCAGGGGCCCAGCCTGGAATCAGGAATCTTCCATGGAATAGAGCCTCCCGGCAGCTCAGAAGGGAACCTGGCAGGCTTGGACCGAGCTGACCTGCGGTCACTGGGTCTGCAAACTGCTTTGCCTTGTGTGAGAGGGGTACCTGAAATACATGAAGTTGCCTAAAATTCTGAACAATAAACTCATTGTTACCGTTTCTTTAAAAAAAAAAAAAAAAAAGTCATGTAGTCACTCATCTTAAATAGTCGATTTTCACTGATCTGATCTACTTTATTCAGAAAACCTTTTTTTTTCTATTTTTTTCCCCTAAACATTATCTCAGGCAAAGATTTTTTTCAAGCATATTTACAAAATATTCAAGTTATTTCAAATATTCTAACCTCTAAGCACTTGTTGCCTATGAATTTCATTTATTTATATTTGTTGTTTTTAATAGGTACATAGGTGCCTACTAATATGCCTTCTGTAAAATGGTACTCACTAAAGGCTTGTCTTTTTGTGTGATTTTTGGACAAAATTTATAATCCTAAGATTCTATCACCAAAATTATACTAATTTTTGTCAAACCAACCAGATTGATTCTGGGAATTAGACCAGAATGCCAGATTCATGCAACTTCAAAAAAAAAAAAATTGAATATTTTGGCCAGAAGAAAATTCTCATTATTCCAGAACCAGAACATATTACTTTGAAAGACAAATGCACTAAGATTTCAATGTTCTCTTTCTAAATGTACTTCCTGAAAGATAAACACGTATTCAATGTTAAGCAGGTTAACAAAAATTTCAACCATTAGGATAAGCATCCTTTGAAAAGTTTCAGGAAATAATATAATACAGATCCAAGCTCTTGGAATGAGTCTCATTAAGAGCAAGTCTAACCCAGGTACGGTGGGGCATGCTTGTAATCCTACTTCTCTGTAAGGTGAGGAAGATCACCAAGTTCAAGGGCAGTTTGGATTACAAAGTAAAGCACTATCTATCTCAAAAAACAAAGCAAACTAAAGTAAAATAAAGCACACAGGTCTATAGCAGCTCCTATTAAATTTGATCCAATGAATTGATTTCCAGGAATATTAAAATCCCAAATAGCATCATATTTCTTACCTTTATCCCTCCAAAGGCCTCTTAAACTCTACCTTTAATAGTCAGGTTAATTATCGCTTCTTTGAAAAGCAAATTGTGAGGCTACATGATCCCATGGTTTTCACAACATTTAACTAGCAGTTAACCAGCAGCTACTTGACGCGGCATCTTTTATTTTTTAATTCTATAAATCTTGTAGAGGTCATTCATAGGAAGTTCTTTTTCCATCCAGGTTGTAATAAAAACTCAAGGACAAGAACCAGGACTTGAATATATATGTGCCTTAATATGGCCTATTTTGTACAGAATAAGTATTTAATAAATCTTTACTGACACGTCCAGATGGCAAAAACATTTTGAAATTCTCTTGTTTAGCCTCTAGCTGGTGCTAGAAAGTATGTGGAGCACTAGGATTCTAAGTGAAATAAGTCATGTCCAATCAGTCACAGAAGAGCAGGCAGAAAAATCAATTGGTATTCATGTATGTGTATGTATGGCTTAACATCAAAAACGTAATCATCAAGTAAACTTTAAGCTGGAAAGTACCTTTAGAACACTATGTCTCCAAGTTCAGTGCATATTAAAAATTAGAAGAATCTTGTTATGGAGACAGGATCTTGTCTTGCTTTGTATTAGAGTGGTTTTGAACTTACTATCCTACTTACACTTTAGCTTCCTGAGTGCTTCAATTACAGGTATGAGCCATTACACTTGACTGAAGATCTGGTTAAAATATGGATTATAATTCTGAAGTTCTGTTCTTCCTCTCTTCTCTCCTTCCTCCTCTCCCCTACCCTACTCTTCCGGTACCACAGATAGAATACTCACGAGTCAGAAGTCTGAAGAAACTGGGATTTGAGACCGGGCACTGGTGGTTCACACCTGTAATCCTACGTACTCAGTAGGCTGAGATCTATAGAGCATGTTTCTGACTTACCTGAGGTCTCTGAAGGAAGTTCAGAAGGAGGACTGCTGAGTGGTTCCTTTTGTTCTAATTTCTCTGACAGAGCGTTTTCATCTGTTGGCAAGTTATACTTTTGGCCTGGTTCTAAAGATAATGGTAAAAATCATGTGTAAGTTTCAGAGAGATGCACTATTTGAGCTATTTTTCGATTTACCAGAAGCAAAATGAGAACAGTTTTTAAGAAATTCTTCTAAAATAAGCAGCAGAAAAATGGATACATAATTGGAAGCCACCAGGTTAGGAAGGGAGAAAAGTAACAAGTGCTTGTTAAGAATATTGTTAGGGCCGGGCACCAGTGCTTCACAGCTGTAATCCTAGCTACTCAGGAGGCTGAGATCAGAGGATCGTGGTTCAAAGCCAGCCCTGGAAGGAAAGTCCATGAGATTTCTCTCCAATAAACCACTCAGAAAACTGGAAGTGGTACTGTGGCTCAAGTTGTAGAGTGCTTGCCTTGAGCTGAAGAGCTCAGGGACATGCCCAGGACCAGAGTTCAAGCCCCACAACCAACAATCCAAGGACACATGGCTTGTGTGTGTAATCCCAGCTACGCAAGAGGCTGAGATCTGAGGATTGTGCCTTGAATCTAGCTTGGGCAGAAAAGGTCCATATGACAAGGGAGGGAGGAAGGGAGGGAGAGAAGCAAGCAAGCAAGCGGCTAACAGGGCAGGGACATGAACATACTTGCAAAGCATTCAAACAAGTTCACTGCACCTGGTGACTATATACCCTGGCAGACAGACATACTGAGAGCAAGCACAAGTACATACCTGGTGAAATCACGAAAGAAGTTGTGGGTGACTGCCTCTCGTCCTGAGGAGATTTTTCCTGGAAGTTCTCACTTATTCCTTCCGGGGTCTGTGCAATTTCCATGTCTTTAACTACGACTGGGGTCACCTCTTTCTCTGTGGGTGGGGTGGCATTCTTGGCTGGGGTCTCATTGTTGGCGAGGGTCACCTCTGCGCCAGGAGACAGAATCACATCCTTGACCAGGGCTCCCTCTGTTTCCGGCAGCAGAGGCAGGTCCTTGACGGAAGCTACCTCTTTTTCTGGGGGTGGGGTCATAGTATCTACCCAGGTCATCACTGTTTCTGGGGGTGTAGTGATATCCTTGCTCAAGTCCACTTCTGGTCCCGAAAACATATGTAGGTCTTCAACCTGACCCGCCTTTGCTTCAGGGGGCGGAGCCATTTCTGTTTCTGGGGATGGAGTCATGTCCTTGACTGGGGTGGCTTCTGCTTCTATGGGCAGTGCTACATCCTTGGTCAAGAGTGTGCTATCAGGGGAGAGGGTCATGTCTCTTTCTAGGGCCACCTCTGTCTGTGAGCTCAAAGCCATTTCCGCAAAGGAGTTTTCTGTGGCTGGTGCAGTTTCCTTGTCCAGTGCCCCTTCTATTGCTGGAAGTGGTACCATACCCATGGCTGGGGCTATTTCTGTTTCTTGGGGTGGTACCTTGTCATCATGTGAGCCCAAGTCCACTTTTACAGAAGGGGCAATCTCTGCTTCTTTCAATGGTGTCAAATCCTTTCCTGGGGCTACCTCTGTTTCTGGAGGCAATAATACTTCCTTGGCTGAAGACACATCTGTTTCTACAGGCACTATGACATCCTTCACTGCAGCCACTTCTGTTTCTATGGGCAGTACGATGCTCTTGGCCAGGGACAGATCTGATTCGATGGATGACTGCAAATCTTTGGCCAGTGTCACTTCTGATTGGGTGGGTTCATCCTTGGCTGTAGCTAATGCCATCTCTGTTTCTGTGATTGGTGCCATGTTCTCTTCTGAGACCACCTCTGTTCCTCCAGATGGTACCATGGCAGTGGTCTTCTGTTCAATCATTTCCAATGTTTTTGTTGGTGGCTGGTCCTCTACTGATGCCATTTCTACTTCTTTGGCTAGGTTGTCAAAGGGAAATAAGTCAAAAACTTAGGACCCACACCTCTACATTTGAAAATAATTTAAGTTCTGTAACCAAAAGACCTATACATGATTAAAAATTGAATCCAGGAGTCAGTGGCTCATGCCTTTAATTATTCCTACTCAAGAGGCTGAGATCTGGAAGATTTCGGCTTGAAACTAGCCTAGGCAGAAAAGCCCTCAAGACACCATCTCTAATTAGGCAACAAAATGCTAGACTAAAGGTGTGGTTCAAGTGGTAGAATACCAGCCATGAGCAAAAAAGCTGAGCAAAATCACAGGCCTTGAACCCAACCAAGTCCTGGTACTAACATACACCCCCCCCACACATACACACGTACAAACACAATTTGTTGAATTAACGTATTCTGATAGTTTTTTGATAGTTCTAACACTTAGAATAAAATATATGAAACCAGTGCCACAGTCTCACACCTGTAATACTAGCTACGCAGAGGCTAAGATTTGCAGGATCACGGTTTGAGGCCAGGAAGGGCAGAAAAGTTTGCAAGATTCCATCGCCAAAATAATGAACAAAATAAATGGACTGGAAGGCATTCCAGACTAGCAAGTGCAAGTATCTTAGTTCAAATCTCAGTACCACAAAAGATAAAGGGAAAGGGGGAAGGGGGGAGAAGAAAGGGGGAAGGGGGGAGGGGAAAGGGAAAGGGAAAGGACTGAAGAAAAAAACAGAGAGAGAAAATACAGGCTTAAGAAAAATCAGGGGAGCCGGGCGCTGGTAGCTCACGCCTGTAATCCTAGCGATTTAGGAGGCTGAGATCTGAGGATCTCGGTTCAAAGCCAGCCCGGGCAGGAGAGACCGTGAGACTCCTATCTCCAATAAACCACCAGAAAACCGGAAGTGGCGCTGTAGCTCAAGTGGTAGAGCACTAGCCTTGAGTTGAAGAGCTGTCCCAGGCCCAGAGTTCAAGCCCCACGACCAACAAAGAAAAAAAAGAAAAATAAAAATCAGGGGCTGGGAAGGTGGCTCAGTGGTAGAGCGCTTGCCTTGCATGCATGAGGCCCTGGGTTCGATTCCTCAGCACCACATAAGAAAAAAGAAAAAAGCCGGAAGTGGTGCTGTGGCTCAAGTGGTAGAGCGCTAGCCTTGAGCTGAAAAGCTGAGGGACAGCACCCAGGCCCAGAGTTCAAGCCCCATGACCAGACCCAAAAAAACAAAAAAAAGAGAAAGAGAGAAAGAGAGAAGGAGGAAGGAAGGAAGGAAAATGAAAAAATAGAAAAATCAGAATTAGAAAAGGAAGCTGTAGGGCAGCTAGTCATTCTTCAAAGAAGAAACAAAAAACAAAACAAAACAAAAAAAAAAACCTATCCAGGTGTAATCTATAATCCTAGATACTCAGGAAGCTGAGAAGTAGATGTTTGTGGTTCAAAGTTATCCAGGCAGGAAAACCCATGAGACTCTATTCCCAAAAGAACCAGCAAAAAGTCAAGCTGGAGGCATGGCTCAAGTAGAAGAATGGCAGCTGAACAAATAAACTGAGCCATTGTAAGGCATGTTGTTCAAAAGGCATGGAGCTCAAAATTTACATTAAAAATCTCAGGTTAGAGGCATGGCTCAGGTGATAGAACACCAGTCAATGAGTCAAAGTCCAATCTCAGACAAAGCAAAATTACTGTAATAATCAATCCTTGCTACTCAGGAGGCTTGAGATCTGAGGAGCAGAGTTTGAATCCAGCCCAGGCAGAAAACTCCCTGAGACTCTTATCTCCAAAAAATTACTCAAAAAAGTTGGAAATGGTACTGTGGCTAAAATGTTATCCTGCCTTTGGCAATAGAAACTCAGGAACAGTGCCCAGGCCAGAGTCCAAGCCTTAGGAAGGGCCAAAAACAAAGCCAAAAAATATATATATATATCTCCTTTACCCCTTAATCCCAAGTGTTATGTTTCCACTACAATTACTGTAGCTATGATACTGCTAATAACATTAAGAACATTTGTTACAGTTTCCAATTTTTTTATTTGTATCTACTATAAGCTGTTTAAAAATTCTTATAACTTATATTATTGAAAGTACAACCAAGAATAAATGAAGGGGGTTTAAATAAATTACCTGTTGGCTGTGAAGTCTCAGCAGTGACTTCAAGGGAAACAAAGGGCTCTGACTGTGGAAAACTTGGAGCTTCTACAGACCACTCCTGAGGTACCACCGCTGTGGGAGCAAACATGTCACAGGAAGATACACCTAATAGTGAAGTACAAGCATATTTTTAAAAACTTAAAACTGGAGAAAAGTTAGACATTTTAAATCATCAACATATGTTGCCGAGAGGCCCAAGAAGCAATGACCAAGAGAGCACTAAGGTTTAAATAAAGAAATCCTGCTGATATTCTTCAGGTATTAGGTACTTGTTAGTAGGCAGTATACTATATCCCGGTGGCACCATTAACCAACATTTGTTAGCTGCTTTCTGTTTTTTAGGGGGATTTTTTGGGTTTTTTTTTGCCAGTGCTGGGGCTTGAGCTCAGGCCTGAGCTCAGTGGTCACCCTGTCTCTGAGCTTCTTTTGCTCAAGGCTAGCACTCTACCACTTGAGCCACAGTGCCACTCAGCTTTTTCTGTGTATGTGGTACTGAGGAATTGAACCCAGGGCTTTATGCATGTTAGGCAAGCACTCTACCACTAAGCCAGATTTCTCAGTCCTTTATTAGCTACTTTCTATATGGTAATATAAAATTCAAAATACAGAAGACTGAGCTAGCCCGGCACCAGTGGCTCACACTTGTAATTCTAGCTACTCAGGAGGTTGAAGTCTGAAGAATGTAATTTAAAGCCAGATGAGGTAAGAAAGTCCCTGAGACTCTTATCTCTAAATAGCCAAAAACCCAGAAGTTGTACTGGTGGCTAAAATAATAGAGAGCCAGCTTTGAATAAAAAAGCTAAAAAACAGCAACCAAGCCCTAAGTTCAAGCCCCAGGACCAGCACCAAAAATAAAAATAAAAGCTTAAGGAGAGTGTATTCTGTTTCAGTCCATAAGCAAAAAATAATGGACACAGAGTTTGGCCCTATGTTAGAGAACTCAAAGTCCTATGAGAAAAGGTCAGTCTTCCCTGAATAGCCCAACAGTAAATTTTCTCTACTTTGCTACTAGAGACCCTAACAGTCCTTCCTTTTGTTTTATGTTACAATTTCTCAAAAAAAAAAATATGTATTGTTGTTCAAAGATGTATTATAAAATGGACTTCTAGCTGGGCACCAGTAGCTGACAACTATAATCCCAGCTACTCAAGAGGCTGTGATCTGAGAACTGAGTTCAAAACCAGCCAGGGCTGGTTATCTCTAACTGGCCACCAAAAACAAGCTGAAGGTGGAGCTGGGTAGTGTGTTAGCCTTGAGAAAAAAAGCTCAGGGACAGCACCCAGGGCCCTGAGTTCAAGCCTCAGGGCCCCCCCACCCCTCACACACACACACACACACACAGAGTTCTAAAGCTACTTATTGAGATTATTCCTTACCTGTATACGCTCCTTACATATGAAACTTATGTTAAAACCTTATCTCTATTATTATATGAGCTCCAAACAAGGCAAACAATGAATCTAAAATATGCAAAAGAGCCAGGTACCAGTAGCTCGCACCATTAATCGTGGCTATTCAGGAAGCTGAGATCTGAGAATCATGGTTCAAAGCCAGCCCAGTCAGGCAAGTCTGTGAGACTCTATGTTCAGTTAACTACCAGAAAACCAGAGTGGTGTTGGGGCTAAAAGTGGAAGAGCATTAACCTTGAGCAAAACAGTTCAGCAACAGAGCCCAGGCCCTGAGTTCAAGGCCAAAACTGACTGACTGACCAATCCTCCTTCTCACATGACACACAGCAAAAGAAAGTTGTTTTTCCTTTCCTATAGAACAAATCTAGTTGAAGTCATACCATAATTACCTTCCACAGGAACACTTTGCCCTGTAAATGTTTCAGCATTTGTAGTTTCACTAGAGAGAAAGAGCAAATCTCCCAAGCCATCGTCATGGTGCATCTTAAAGGGATCTGTAATAAAAAAAGAATCCAGGCTGGGAAGGTAGCTTAATGGTAGAGTGTCTGCCTAGCATGCATGAAGCCCTGGATTTCCATTCCTCAGTACCACATACAGAGAAAAAGCTGGAAGTGGTGCTGTGGCTCAAGTGGTAGAGTGCTAGCTTTGAGCAAAATTAGCTCAGGGACAGTGCCCAGGCCCAGAGTTCAGGCCCCAGGACTGGCCAAAAATAAAAAAAATCCAAAATTCATCCTTATGAAGATAAACATTTCTTGCTATGCTATGATAAAAGTAGGTTAGTTATATTTTATTTGGTTAAGTTCAGGTAATACAGGACATGTCGCACAGGGTGAATGATAAAAATGTTCATAGCCAGTTGCCAGTGACTCACACCTGTAATCCTAGTTACTCAGGAGGCTGAGATCTGAGGGTCACAGACTGAGACCAGCCCAGTCAGGAAAGTCCATGAGACACTTTATCGACAATTAACCACCAGAACACCAGAAGTGGAGCTGTGGCCCAACACTAGACTTGAGCAAAAAGAGCTCAGGTACAGCATCAAAGCTCTGAGTTCAAGGCCCATGACCAACCAAAAAAGAAAAAAAGAAGTTCACTAATTCTTTTACTATAAGCTATATGTATGTATATGTATGTGTGTGTGTGTGTGTGTGTAATATAAAACCCTTAATTAAGATTTGATTAGCCAAACCAGACAGCCAATAAATATATAAAACTGAAAAAAAAATTAATGACCAGCTCTAACACACTAAGAGGTAAAGTACAGAAAATGAAAGTTTTAATAAATGCTTACAAAAAAGTTGTTTTTGTTTTTGTTTTTGTTTTTTTTTTGGGGGGGGGGGCGCGGTCAGTCGTGGGGCTTGAAGTCTGGGCCGGGGCGCTATCCCTCAGTTCTTCAGCCACAGCGCCACTTCCAGTTTGTTGGTCTTTTATTGGAGATAAGAGTCTCAAGAACTTTCCTTCCTGGGCTAGCTTTGAACCATGATCCCAGTCTCCTGAGTATTATAGGTGTGAGATACTGGCACCAGCTTGCCAAAATGTTTTATCTGAGTGGTAGATGTAGCTTTCCTGTGTACATCTGCGCGCGCGCGCCACACACGCACGTGCGCACGCACGTGCGCGCGCACACACACACGCACACGCGCGCGCGCACACACACACACACACATGGGTAGAAGAAAGAAATATAACCGTATTCCTGGCACTGTCCCTCAGCTCTTCGGCTCAAGGAAAGTGCTCTACCACTTAAGCCACAGCGCCACTTCCAGTTTTCTAGTGTCACAGACTTTCCTGCCAGGGCTGGCTTACGTGGTCCTCAGCCTCCTGAGTAGCTAGGATTACAGGCGTGAGCTACCGTGTCCACCCAAAGGCTACTATTAATGTTAAAAAACAGAGCAGAGGTGGCTGGGAAGGTGGCTCAGTGGTAGAGCGCTTGCCTTGCATGCATGAGGCCCTGGGTTCAATTCCTCAGCACCACATAAGCAAAAAGAAAAAAGCCGGAAGTGGCACTGTGGCTCAAGTGGTAGAGCGCTAGCCTTGAGCTGAAGAGCTGAGGGACAGCGCCCAGGCCCAGAGTTCAGGCCCCACAACCGGACCCAAAAAAAAAAAACAGAGCAGAGTAGGCCAGTTGCTGGTGGCTCGTGCATGTAATTCTAGCTACTCAGGAGGCTGAGATCTGAGGGATCACAGTTCACATGGGAAAGAAAATCCATGAGAGTCTCATCTCCAATTAACCACCAGAAAACTGGAAGTGGAACTATGGCTTCAAGTGGTAGAGCGCTAATTCAGCAAAAAAGCTCAGAGGCCTAGAGTTCAAGTCCCATGACTGACACCACCCCTCACCCCCCAAAAAAAAAGGAAAGAAAGAAAAGAAGGAACAGCAGAGTTAGATGGACCCAATGGCCGATGCCTATATTTCTAGCTATTCAGGAAGCAAAGATCAGGAAGATCACATTTTAGGCCAGCTCTGTCCAAAAAGTTACTGAAAAGAATTGTGAGTTTGTTCTTGTTAGGAAAAAGGATTGTGAATTTGAGGTCAGCTTGAGCTGCACAAAGATGGCCTGAACCACAAAATAAAAATCCATCTGGATGTCAGTGGCTCATGCCTGTAATTCTAGCTACTTAGAAAGCCAAGGTCTGAATGTCACTTCCACGTCAGCTTGGACAGAAAGTCTGTGAAACTTTCTGTCACCAATGAACCACCCAAAAATAAAGCTGGAAGTGGAGCTATGGGCTCAAGTGGTAGAGTGCTAGCCTTGAACAACAACAACAAAAAAAATGTCAAGGACAGTGCCCAGGCTCTGAGTTCAAGGCCCCAGGACTGGCCCCCCTAAAAAACAAATTTCTAAAAGCAAAGGACTGGTGGTAGAGCTCTTATCTACCAAGGCCCTGAATTTAATCCTCTGTACTGCAGCAAAGCAAAACTAAAAAATAGGTCAGGACAAGGCATCATAAAGCAGGCCTGTCAAAGCATGATGTATAGTTACCCTAATTATAGGAAAATAGGAAAGTAGGCTCTTTTTTCCCCACATACAATATTGGAATTAAATTATTCCCCTAATGTCAATACCTCAATAATAAACCCCATTTCTATTTTTATATTCTGTTAACAGGTTATATATACATATATGCAGAAGTATCTCAAGTAGGGCAGAAGTTAAAAGTTGTTGTTACTCATCAGTAGCCCAAACCAAATTCAACTGTGAAAGAAAATACATATGAGCATTAAACGGCATGTCTGTCCATAGCTCACATCAGTGGTATATGAACATTCTACCAATTTATTCTAGGTAACTATGGATAATTGACATTCCAGCTCTAAACAAAAGAAGAAAAAACATTCTCAAAATAGGGCACATTATCCAAGGATATCTAGTATTCTCATTATAGATTACTAGAACACTAACAGAAAAATCAAGAAGGAAAGCTGGGCATCGGTGGCTCACACCGGTAATCCTAGCTACTCAGGAGGCTGAGATCTGAGGATCACTGTTCAAAACAGGAAAGTCCGTGAGACTCTTATCTCCAATAAACTACTCAAAAAAGCCAGAAGTGGTGCTGTGGCTCAAGGGGTAGAGCAACAGACTGAGAGTCAGGGACAGTACCCAAGCTGAGTTCAAGCCCCACAACTGGGGGAAAAAGAATCAAGAAGAAAATTAAAAGCTGTGCAACTGTGGCTCGTGCCTGTCATCCTAGTTACTTAGGAGGCTGAGATCAGAGGACTGGGATTTGAAGCCAGCCCAGATAGAAAAGTCTGTAAGACTCATATCTCCAATGAACCACCAGAAAACTGGAAGTGGTGCTGTAGCTCAAAATGGTAGAGCGCTAGTATAGAATGAAAAAGCTCAGGGACAGCGCCCAGGCCCTCAGTTCAAGCCCCACAAATGACATGAGATTCTCTGATTTTAAAGGCTTTCTCTACACTGTTACGTTTGTCAGAGGATGAATGGGTAGTTGAAAGGTTGGGTTTTTCACCCATTTTGTAGCCCCTTTTTTCCTCCTGGTATAGCGCTGGACATGTCCCTTAATACCCCATCCTCCATCAAGGGCTCCAAAGACAGGCATTCAGTCAAGTGGGGTTCTGGTTTTACTCTTTGGTTCTCTCGTTCAACACATTTTCTTCCCACTCTGTCCCATACTCTCTACAAATTAGGGAAAGGGAAAGCCAAAATTCAAGATACGATAAATCTCTGCTTCTGTTTTACTAGCGCTTTCCAAAGGGCTATCATAGGGCAGAAGAGAGAGATAGGTGGGAGGGGCAGAATGACAGAAGGAATGACTGATCAGTATGAACTCTGCATATATAAACGGCCATCGTTAATCGTAAACCCCTGTACAATCATTTGAAGATTAAACAAAATTAGGATGGGGAGAGTGAGACTGTGGAGTGAGGTTGATCAGAATACATTATGTGCAGCCGGGCGCTGGTGGCTCACGCCTGTAATCCTAGCTACTCAGGAGGCTGAGATCTGAGGATTGAGGTTCAAAGCTGGCCCGGGCAGGAGAGACCGTGAGACTCCTATCTCCAATAAACCACCAGAAAACCGGAAGTGGCGCTGTAGCTCAAGTGGTAGAGCGCTCGCCTTGAGCTGAAGAGCTGAGGGACAGCGCCCAGGCCCAGAGTTCAAGCCCCGCGACCAACCAAAAAAAAAAAAAAAAAGAATACATTATGTGCATGTGTAGAAAGGTCACTATGTGTAAGTAATGTATGCTATTTTTCTGGGGGAAAGATGGGGGTGGTCATTCATGAAACTCAGAGCCTGGGTGATGTCCTGAGCTTTTCTGCTCAAGGCTAGCCCTCTACCACTTTTAACCACAGCACCACTTCTGGTTTTCTGGTGGTTCATTGGACAGACAGTCTTTCCTGCCTGGGCTGGCTTCGAATCAGGATCCTCAGATCTCAGCCTCCTGAGTAGCTAGATGATAGGCATGAGCCACCAACACCGAGCGATATATGGTAATTTTTAAAAGACCCTGGCCCAGAAAAAGAAAAAAAAAAAAACCACAAAATACACAGTACTATATCTTTTATACACACTGATCAAAATCATAGCCCATTGTTTAAAAGGGATTTTCACCACACAAGCAAAAATGTAGTAAGCCATAAGAAGAGGAATCAATCAGTACTCAAGCAGGTGATTGATTTTCTTTGAACCAAATAAAATTTTCAAGTCAACCATTCCAAATCTTAGTCCATTTCAGTCCAGATCAAACTGCAATTTTTCTTTAACTATGTTGAATAAACCAAACCTAACAAAAACCAGAATGACATAATTTTGTCTTGCACTGTTTTCTACCTATTAATTCAATTATGTAACTTAGTACAGGTTCCATTTAGGTCCTGGGGATAAGACAAAAAATAGACAAGAATCTTCAGCCTCAGTTTGCATTGTAGACTAGCAACGTAATGAATGAGACAGAGGGTTAGCCTGCTGTTTATCTAATCTCAATCTGCAAATTGTGTTCCTTTCTAGACACAATACTTCAAAGGGACTCT